ACATAGTCATCGTCATAGTCACTAATCATCATCATCAGGCTGCTCACATAGTCATCGTCATAGTCACTAATCATCATCATCATCAGGCTGCTCACATAGTCATCGTCATAGTCACTAATCAACATCATCAGGCTGCTCAGATAGTCACCGTCATAGTCACTAATCAACATCATAATGAAAACAACGCATCGAACAAAAGTATCTATGCTTTTTACAATTAATTTGAAAAACCTATTCAAAATACGACTATTCTGTAGACAAATTTTAGACGATATCCACCTCCAATTCTACAAAACTCCTTGGTTGATGAAACACAAGAAAGACCAAAAAATATGATTATAAGAAAAATTCAAGACCTAATAAATTTCATTATATATACATACCAAGTTTTACTCGCTTAAAGACCGTTTAACGACGTTCATGGAAAAAAGAGTGTATTGACAAAGGGTTTTATGGGCAAAATATTTAAATTTTGCATGATGAACTACATCATACCTGGAGTAAAATAAGCGTTCGGTGTGTATATAATGAAGTAGAGAGAATAAGAGAAAAATATCAAATGCCCTTGGCAGTATTCGAACMCACGTCTTCGGTATTCTAGTCCGATGTGTTAACCACTACACTACAAGGACCAACCGGGCTGGTAACGCAGCCAGAATATGAAATGTAGTTTTGATATTTTTCTCTTATTCTCTCTACTTCATTATATACACACCGAACGCATAATTTATTACTACTATACTATGTCTATTCTTTGCGTACATATTTACGGTGTTCAACTTACCTATAGAGAAAAAATATCGCTCTGGGATCCTCACGAATACCCTACATTTCATATTCTGGCTGCGGTTCGAATCCTGCCAAGGGCATTTGATATTTTTCTCTTATTCTCTCTACTTCAAATAAAAGAAAGGGTCACCGACTTCGTTTAGCCGTCGGAATATGTGGAAGATCAGCCTTAACGGCTTTTACTTAACTTCAAAATTGCTAATACCATGCCTAATATGAAATTCTCAATTGTACCGGCTTCTAGGCCAGAAAGCACATTATTTGTCTGAAGATTCATCCTATGATCTATGTTTGATCCTGTCATGATTATGACTTGTTTAATTTACAGGATTGTCATTGAGGAAATATTTAAAGCAGGTGAAATTGACAGGAACAAGGTCCCCGCGAATTTTGAGGAGTTATCTCCTGTGGAACAGGTACATGAAGCTGTATACTTCTGGGATTATATTTCTGCRTTGAAAATAAAACATGCTCTACTGGGAATGTAAAATAAGTGAGATGTAGAATCGTGAGCTAGGAATTTCTCTATAATGTCCCACGGAATATCGGGACATAGAGAGCACGGCTTTTTAGGACAGCTTTTTGATGRGTTAATATTAAATCAATTAACCAACCAGCCAACCGACCGACAGACCAACCAACCGACCAATAAAACAACGAACGAACGAATGGCACCGCCATTGACGTGGTCATCCGAGCCACATACAGGTCAAACCATTTGCAGATTTAATTACRAAGGCAGCACTTTCTCCTAATTTATTTGAAGACCCTGAGTGTTGGTCCGGCTGAGATTCAAACCACGACYTCTCGCACAACAGACATACGTTCTTACCAACTAAGCTAACCGGGTGGCGGTAAATACCAGCGAGCAATTATCAATATTCTTTCTCTGAAACTCGAAAACTATTCCACCTAATTTTTTTGGCCTTTACGGTATTGAACRAGTAATTTTGTGACCAACCTGTAAGTAAAACTTTCAATGAAAAATGATTTTAATTTTTTTCTGATCCATAGGTCAAAACTCTTGCAAGACTTATACCAAATGAAGTTCTTGCTAAGGGCAAGAAAGTGACGGAGGATATCTTGAATCAATTAAAATGATATTAGAAACAAGCAAATGATAAATAGACAAAATTGGAATCAGTACCTCATTAATCAGGGCCAATAAATTGAATTATTATTTTTTTATTATCATGAGACTTTTATTTATTTGCATATATTAATTATCTACAAAATTACGGAACTTACATGGTTGTTTCGGGTCAACTACAATTTAAAATTTTATTGCATGGCTTTATAAATTACAGGACGTAGACAGGGGGTGGCCAAGAATTTGTAAAAATAAAACGTAAAAAATAATTTCGTTTTTAATGTGTTCTTTTTTTGTTGTTCTTTTTTTTTAATTTGGGCCTCCCCCTTCGAAAAAATTCCTGGATACGCCCCTGAATTAATGTTATTTAGTGATCCTTTTTAATTCTGTTCAATAATAGCATTTTGAACATAAAAATAAAGATCGCAAGGACAATCAAATCATGGAATTTTTCCACACCTTCCTCGAAAATAAAGTCAAATAATTCTATATGATAAAAGAAGTCCATAACTAGTCCTCAAAAGGATATGAATTTCTGATGTTAGGCCATTTGCAACAAACAGTCACCCATGTGCTGATATATCACCTTAATAACAAGTCAGTTTAGCCAAAGGTCCCGTGGATGGCAAACAAACTCAAAAACGCTTCGTATCTTGAAATCGAAAATACATTATTATAAGAGAAAATTTAAAACAGTATTTTGGAATAGGTTTTGGATATTGCATTGGTAATCCAGCAAAAGGTATTTAAATAAAGGAAGTCTCGTGAATATTCATTGCAAATGACCCGCATTGTGTCTAAAATACCTTGACGTTTACATTACATTCATATAAATGTGCACATAAAAATCGTCAAATACAAATCTTGGTGTCAGTAATGTCATTTATGCAAACACAAAATATTTATTGCAAATTCCTTAAATATTCTCATGCATGTTCTTGAGCTAATATTTTTTGTCTTCCTCTCTACTGGGGCATGAACCCATTGTATTGCATTGTATTTATTTTTCATCCCAACTCTCTTCCATGTGTGAGGATCTCCAGATACATTGGGAGCAAGGATTGGAATGAAAAGAAAAATCTTGCGGTCAGTTGAGGCAAAAAAGTGACTGGAAATCCTTTGACGTTACCAGTGGAACATCTTGCATATCAATGACGTACACGGTGGAGGAAATAAACGTTAAAACTGATTAAATCCAAAATCTAAGTATAGATGCATCTTAATAACATCACTTGGTAAGACCTTGCGCTTAACTAGATGTTGTATGGAAATTTATCGCCAACATCGAGCAAAATACATTCTACACACTGCGCTCGCCGCAGTGACATTGCGGCACACCTTTTAGCTCTCTCAGTGGGAACCACGGCAGGGTCGAGCTTCTCGTGTCAGCTTAGACGTGACACTTGTTTGCAGTCAACTGATGAGATCTTGGCGTGTATAAGACAGGCCAACGCGGCAAGCCATCGTGCGCCCACCATGACTYCCGAGGAGACTCGACATGTAGATGATGATGAAGTATACAGGGCAAAAGAAGTACAATTTTTCAAAGGTCAGCTAAGACTTCTTTAATTTATTTCACATTTTGATGATCTTATTGAGTAAGAGTCGCCATGGATTTTCTTAGGGACTGTGCAATAATTATCGGGGGGGTGGGGGGGAGGTTCTAAAATTAATAGGGGGGTCAAAAGTTAAATTGGAGTGTAGGGTAGGAGGGGTTACAAGCTAATTGCTTAAATATGGAGAGGGGGGGTCATAAGTCAATWKGGGATTTTGYWCACYATRRAAYTSAAAAGATGCATATAAATGTACTRTTTAAAATAAACATTCATTGTTTTTTGTTTTTTTTTTGTTTTTTTGTTGTTTTTTGTTTTTTTGTTTGTTTTGTTTTGTTTTGTTTTTACTGTATAAAGAACACAATTTGTCACAGGTGCAACCTCAAAACTATATGTGTTGAAATATAATCTATAAACTGAGTATCCTTTGTAATAAAAAAAGTACAAAAAACAGTAACTAAAAACAATGCAAGTCACTACTTTGTATCAGGGGCGGCGGAAGCGGGGGGGCCGGGGGGGCACTGGCCCCCCACTAGATTTTTGGGGGGGCCCTGGCCCCCCAGAATATAATGCCTCACACACACAAAAAAAAAACGCATGAGATTTGGTTATGATTACCATTATTTATTATTTTGATATTACATAATTTTCTGTATCTAAAAAATATACGATATATCTAGCGACGACTTGCATCATTTATGTGTCTCTCAGCACAATTGCAAGTGGTTTAATGCGCGCAAAATGTTACTGATTGAAATATCACACATACACGTTTGTAATCAAGCTAAACAGGGAAGGGGGGGTCATTTCAAGGTACCGTGAAATATTGGAGTGCCCCCCCAAAATTTTTCAGCTTCCGCCKCCCCTGTGTATACTGTACTGTGGTAAAGTTATGCCACATTGATTGACTGTATATAAGACAATTGACTATGTCATGTCTTTTTTGTTTTGCCTTGTACTAATTCTTCTAGCTTTATGTTCATGATATTTAGTGCTATGTCAAGGATAAAAACAGAAGTTCTGAACAAGCTCCTTAGCTTTCCCACTAAATATTTCGAAGAAAAAAGATCTGAGGGCCTCAGGCAGGATTTGTCAGTTTGAGATGTAAATGTTAGTAGAGTGTCCTCATCAATATTATCATTGATAACTGTTCACACTTTTGTAGCATTTCAAAGGCCTGTTTTTTAAATCTCACAATATTTGTATTGTCGCGATGTATAATGATGTATGGGAAGGGGGGTATTATAGTTATTTCATTTCAAAAGGGGGAGGGGTGAGAAGTTATTTTACGTTTAGCACAGGGGGTTTAGCTTCAAATTAAGCCCAATTTGGAGAATTTTAGCACCCCCCTCCCGATAATAGCGAAGCGCAACCGTGACGTCATAAAAACGAAGACAAAGGCGAAATTCGGACAAACAAACTTACAAGTTTACTTTCAGCAAATAATTTTCACAGCCGATCGCAGTTGATCTTAGTTTACATGGGTTATTATYGTAACTTTAAGTAAAAATAATAAAATCGGTTCGTATAATCCTCGTAGCGGTTAAACAGAATGCAATGTTTGTCCGAATTTTAGAATCAGTGCGCTGAGCTATTATTGCACAGTCCCTTATACATGACACAAAGGAGGATGTTTCACTAGCATGCTTTGCGCGCCGTACTCATTATGCATCTGTCCTCAGCGTTTGTTTGAAAAGTTTCATCTCGACGGCGATTTTCCTCGATTATTTCGCCAAACGAAAACAGCAGCCGTTTGCTTATTAAATATTTTCTGCATCCATACTGACAAACAATAGAAAGTCTGGTAATTTAACTGGGACCTTGTTCGGTATTTTTGTAATTTTTGCCATAGGAAAAATCAAAATATGCCGTATCAATGAATGGATAGAAAAAGATAAAAGTTGTTTTGACAAGCGAATTGTTTGTAGGCTTTGAATTATGTGGGAATAAGTCGAAATTAGACGAAGAAAATTTAATAAAGAACACACCTACATAAAGTATAGTCTTCATACTATCCTATATCCCTTAAGTCTCCTTAAGTCTCCACGTTTGAGTGAGATACGGCCATTACAATTTCCACTAAAATTCGCCATGTGTTTCGCTTCGTCTTGTCTTATGTCCTTGATCTGACGTGACCTGCTAGATTACCAAAAATGGTATTTTTGACTATCTTATACAATTCTGATAATCTTGATTTTAAAATTCAAATTTATATCTATAATAACAACGACAATGTAAAATGTTATATATTTTTTATTTAAGTCAATCGAAGGTAGTTTTATTAAAGAGGAAAAAGAGTTAAGCTTACTTTTATTCACAGTACGTGTCACAAGCCCGACAAACAATTCAAGAATTTCCTTAATCTAACAAACTATAAACGAATAAATAGTCAAACCACTAGAAACTAATTTTATTCAACTCAAGAAAGCCAAACCTATAGTATTCAACAGTGCAGATAGTGTAATTTTCTTTCAAATTTACAAAAAACTTAAAAGTTCAAATGCATAGGCAAGACATCCGAAGAAAATCCTCGATCGTAGAAAGTAGATTATATATTTTTCTCAAGGGTAGATAAACAACAACAAACTTAACACATGGCTTTTGTATATTACCTCGAACAACAGCTGCTAGATAAAACTTTATTCAGTAGCGATTTTCTTCCGGAAAATCGAGACTGTCATTGTTCAAAACGATGCAATTCTTCTTTCTTCAATAAAAATACCTGGGAAGATGGCTGATAACTGTCACAATTTTAAAACACATAATACCAGCAAATTCAGTCTAATTGGTCCTTTTTGTGGACAATACAATAGAGAAAGAGAAGATCTGAAGTGAAAAAGGGCTCACGATTTCCCTCTTTAATCTCCATAGTCGAGTCCATATAGTTGATGTTTCTGCATTGACATCAAAGCGAAAATGAGTAGATCACGTGACTTTTCAGTGTGATAATATAGTTGGTCGAGGCGCGCAAAGCATGCTAGTGAAACATCCTCCTTTACATGACACCACAGAAACCTAGCTTGGGCTACCTGTGGCCTTTGCTATCCCAAAATCCAACGGAGCCATGTTTTCAAATCATACCATGATAAAATGACAGAAGTTATTGAAGAGAAAAACAAAATATTTGTCAAAAATATACCTTTAGGAACCACAAAGGTAGGTTTAATATGACAACCCTTGGGGGATAAGGCCTCGTAGAACTTTATTACAGTAAAACTTCCATCTAAAAGAAGCTTAAACTTACCCAAGCTTGTGGTCGCTTATCTTTTTAGGATATATTTTATGTTATGTATCATCATCCTTTATACTTATCATTACATGCTATAAAATGTTTGTTTTGAAAGCACCCAGGAGGCAAACACTAGAGTACATTACATTAGGAAATTGCGCGAATTTGCAAAAATTAGTAAGTTGAGTAGACCGTATACCTACAAAACATTGCACTTTTTCACGGATATATGGTATGCACTCTATTTACTATAAGTTTGGTAATTTACAATAAGGGTAAAACTCTTTTATTCCTGACCTAAAGTCTGCACTAGTGGCAGGCAGGACTCCCATATATCATATAAAAACTCACATATAAAACCTACAGCTAAATGCTGGTAGCCGGGGCTGATCCAGGGTAGGGAGTAGGTAGGGAGTTTGCAAAAAAAAAAAAACCAAATCAAACCAAGAAAAGTGARGAACCAATATCAGGGGTCAATGTTGTTGTCAGGTGATTCAATATAAAAGAGGTTGTTTACAAAGGGGTTTTTATTTCTCATTTAGGGGGTTCGGAGGAACCTACACCTACTAAATTATGAACATAAGAGTGTATAAATTTATGAAGAAACTCTATTTCGTATGAAAACAAAACAAAACTCACTTATCACTTATCACTTATTATAGACAAACAAACTATGAACTGAATAGAGGAATTAAAAGCAGGGTCTGTCAGTATGAAGGATAGTCCATAGGATAGTGCTATTCTTCAATTGCATGTTACGTCATTGCGGCCATGTTGGTGCCATTTAACAAAAGATTACTCATTAGCATCCATTGTTMACRGYACCACAATGGCCGCCATGTTTTTGTCTTTTGACTCCCTTGGGAATGCTTCATGCAACCCATCAATTCACCCTTCGTACAACCAGGCCCAAAAATTGATAGATAGATTAGGCTTTAGCTACATSTGAAGCATACAATAATTGAGCTATACAAGATTAAGAATTGGCAATCACCCCCTACAACTTGAAATCGGAAGATGTGTATGCTCATATGTACAAGTAAGAACAGAAGTGAGAATATGCCAAATGTGTAGCCTTGGAGTCCTGGGGGGGGGGGGGTACTCCCCTATATTCTCTATATGGGTATATGTGCCGCCAAACAGGGTATGGTTTTCAGCGATTCTACTCTGGAACAGGGTATATAAAATTGCTCTCGCTCTGGGATAGGGTATATGAAATCACGCTCTCTCCTCTCTGGAACAGGGTATCCATTTTTGCAATACCGGAACAGGGTATGATTTTCAGCAATCTTGCTCTGGAACAGGGTATGAATTTCAGCGATTTTACTCTGGAACAGGGTCAGGATTCAGTGGGCTCAGTGGCACATCCCTACCCCAAACACATAAATGCACATAAATGAAAAAATTCATATAAGTCATCCAAAAAATTGTCAAAAATGTAATCAAGAAATACTTTGTGTGTGCAGTGTGTGTTCTTGGAATGAGTTGATCAACTTTATATTGTTAGTTTACAAAATGTATTCAATTGACTAATATGCACCTTGTTTTTTAGGAAGACATTGTCAGGTTGTTTAGCAACATTGGTGGTGTATGTGATATTGTATTACCTAAACCCAAGTCTGGCTATGCCACTACTTATGGGTAAGCCAAAGAAATGAACTTTCATTCAGGACTTAGATTTACTCAAACTTTAATGTATGCAGCTAATGCTGGTTAAATCTGTAAAGTGAGGGAGGCACTTGGGTGCTTAATGCCTCTTCATATTTCGCTATGTATTTTGCGACTTTATTTTCAGTTATTTTTTAATTAGCTAACTTTTAGGGCCTTTTTTTATCAGGTTTGTAACATTTATGGATGAAAAAGATGTCTCAAAAGCTATTTCACAGTACAACAATTTTGAWCTCTGCAACAGTGAAGGCAAAAGAAGTGTATTAGCTATTGTACAAGCATATCAAAAGTAATTATTATTATAAATGTTGATAGAAGAATGGTAGCAGCTAAGTAGCTTCCTGTCAGATGGACTGGATTTGAAAGGATGAAAGGATTTGAAATAGAACACTTTAATAGGTTTGACAGGACAGTTCAGCTATAACTTGTGATAGCCTATGACAAGAATGATAATGAAAGTGTGTGATGATGATGATGATGAAGCRGGGGGGTTGTTCGAGCTTCTTGTCATAAACAGGGTATGCAATTTCACTCAAGTTCCAATTTTTTTCCTGAGTTTCCTGTCATATTCAGGGTTTCTATTTTCGTGTTGACCGAAACTGGTTATTATGGTCGTAAAAAAACGATACGCGAGATGACATGATAATTGAAACAGGAACTCATTACGATTAATTATATCTTTTTTCATAAACAGGGTCTACAAATTTGAGTTTTTTGTCATAAACCCATTTCAGAATCCCAGCGGAACACCCCTACCCAAAYTCTGGTGGAGTACCCCCTCCCCGGGCAATGATTTTAAATGTTATAAAAAATTGAAAGAAAATGGATAATTGTACATGGTCCATTAAYTTTTCCACCTTTTGTTTCGATATTCCTAGAGTTTCAAAGCTATCATCAAAACATGCAGCATCATCCTCTTTGTGGTCACTTGACAGCCATGATTCTGAAAAGGTAATTTGCATTTTGTAGTAATKTCATAGAGATTATAAACAAAGGGTAGAGAAATATCGGCATATTATGCTTATTTGTATTCCCTTTTAGTAAAAATACACAGGTGATTATTGAAAATCTCGCTTGCTGATTGGTCAAGAAACTCACACTATCACACGATAATCACCTCAAGCGATAATCAAAAATGGCGGCCAGCCGCTT